AAAGTATCAACCATACACTTTGATGCTAACATTACGTCGGGAGCCTTTGACGGAGACACGCCTGCACACACGATCTACGAATTTGCTGTGACAGCCGATCCTGGATACGCTATAGTCGAAACACCTGTAAATTTACTATATCTACCTGTTATACCGAAACAAGAAATAACCAACGTCACAGTGTTGGCTTTAGATCAAGACGGTCGTCCTGTAAACTTTCAAGGTGAAACTAGTACTCTTGTGTTGGAGTTGAGAGCGAAGCGCAGATGGGATTAGTGATTATAAGACATAGTGGTGCTTCCAAGGCAACTTCAGTATTACCCCAAGCACCTAAGCGACGACATCTACTACTAACTACATCAAATATCCTGTTTCTACGCTCACTTGGATATCATGTCAACAACAACAAGAATCATGTACAAAAAGAGAAAAACTGAGGAGGCAGCAGCAGCAGCATCACATACTTCTCCGATGTTTGATCTATATCGATCTCCAGCATTCGATGAATCTATTCGCAAGGCTGAGTATAGATCTTATACGCCGTTCATCAAGTCATTTAATTGTAATGATGTTGTGGAATTTAGCATCAATCAAGTAGATTCGTTCTTTGCAATGAACGCTTCCCTTCTATCTATCAAAGGAAAAGTTGAAATAACTGGAGGAGGAGGAGCAGGAGATGTATCTTTAGCTCCAAACTTTGGTGCCTTCCTATTTGACTCTTGCACTTACAGTGAATCCGCTAGAGAAGTTGAAACAGTACGTGATCCTGGTATTGTAAGTACTGTCCGAGCTTACGTATGTTACAGTGAGGAAGACTCAAATCATATGGCTATAGCTGGATGGAACTATCCTTCAACACCTATAATGGCGTCAACACATAACAAGTCTTTTAGCTTGCTAATGCCGCTTAAACATATTTTCAACATTTTCAATGATTATCCTATGATTACGTGTGGCAGACAAACTCTCAGATTTGTGAGAGCTAGAAACGATAACGATTGTATCATTATCAAGGAAAAAACTGGAACGACGACGACAGCGAAAATAACTATTGAAAGCATGGAACTGAAAATCAAACATATTTACCCGAGTGATGATGTGAAAGAACAACTTTTGAAAGCTATTCAAACTGATAAGCCGATACTTATACCGTTTAGAAAATGGGATCTGAATGAACTGCCTGCAATTACCGCAGATGCGAGAAGAGAAATATGGTCAGTTAAAACTAGCACCGCAATCGAAAGACCACGTTTCATTATAGTATGTTTCCAAACCGGTAAACGTGACGTCGCAACCTCAGACCCTACCCTGTTTGATCACGTGAATGCTGCTAGTATTCGAGTATCTTTAAATGGTGAATACTATCCCAACGAACGTATGCAACTGGACTTTGCAAACAATCACTTTACTGAAGCTCATTTCAACTATAGCGACTTTCAAACCAGCTATACAACTTCTTCTTCTCCTCTGAAGAGATGTCTTTTAGATTATACCGCTTTTAAAAATCGCGCTTTGTTAGTTATTGACTGTTCCAAACAAGAGGAAACCATGAAATCATCAACTGTTGATGTTAGATTGGATATCGAAGCCGATACTGGCTTTCCAACCAACACCAAGGCCTACTGCATCATTATACATGACTGCTTAATCGAGTACTTCCCCCTCACCGAAGTTATTAAAACCATCTCGTAAGCAACGAAGGACTCTCAGTTCCGCATCAGACATCATGAGGATCGCGTTTGTTGACATTCAAGGCTTTACAGTTGACGGATTATTCGTACCTAAAGAACTATGTATCGAAATTGGTTTCAAGAAAAGTCATTACATCTTTACACCTCCGCAACCTTTTTCTACATTAAATACTAAAGACAAGAAAACTGTCGCTTACTTGGAGAAGAATTTCCATGGGCTTAAATATTCTTCCGGCGACGTTAAATATTCCAAGTTAAATGAAATAATTAAAAATAAGGTGATATATGCGGCTGACTATGTCTACGTTCGTGGAGAACAGAAAGCAAACTTTTTACTCAAGAAATGTCACATTTTTGGTGTTTTTCCCAACATTATTGATGTTTGCAAGTATGATGGTACACCGTGTGCTACTGGAAACTTTGTTGCTGATTCCAATCCATGCCACACCAACGGACAATTTTCCTGTACCCAGAGAAATGTTGAACGTCTACGCCACTGGTTTTCAAATATCATATTACCTATGTAGTTTTTTCTATTTTCAATAAAATATTAAACGTATTATTGTAGTTTTATTGAAAATACCTCTGGTTTGCGAAATAATTGTCAGAATGTCTATACTATTTTCATTTTGAACGGTATCATCCTGTATAATAATAACAGTACATCGTATACAGGTTATGAGACATTCTGACCGACCGACCGACCAGAGGAGCCCACCACGCTATTTAGGTCACGCCTTGCTATATACGATTTAACGATATACCGTCGGTCCATCGATCCGCTATTTTTCGATGCACCCCTGTATACACGTTCTGAATGCCCCCCGTAATCCACGCCAACACCAGACAGGTGCGACATCGGCGCCATCTATGCGCGAGATGCCCAACCCATCAATGGCAGCTGTCCAATGACACATAGATTCCGTTTGGTTTGTACAGCGCCAAACAAATCGGCGCCATCTATGCGCGAGATGCCCAACCCATCAATGACAGGTGTCCAATGACGTATAACAGATGACGTTTTAACGCCATCTATGCGTGAGATGCCCAATGACGCATGACAGGTGTCCAATGACACACAGATTCCGTTTGGTTTGACAGCGCCATCTAGCGGCGGAATCCCCAACTCATGATTACAGATTCCGTCCAACAACCTGTCAATGGCGCGCGACGCCAGCGCCTCTGGTGGCGGATTTTGGAAGTTTTGAGACCGAATCCCCATAAGACATCTACTCTTACTGTTTTATTTAATGTCTGATTTTTAATTGTGATTGCATATTTAAATTGTGTTTACGTAACCTGGATCTGGCTCCTCACTTATGATGCTTTGTAACGAACTGTGAGTGATATTTTCCTGATTTGGACAACTTATATTATGGACGCCTTATCTTACACCATTGAGTCTTATTTTCATAATTTATGCAAATCACTAACGTACAAGGAGTATGCCGTCCCTTGGGACTCTCAATTTTTCGCTTATTTTTTGAATTTTTTTCTTTATTGTTTTATACTGTTACAACTGTGCGAATAACTATACTATTTATTGCATCCGCGTATAGAGTGTGTATCTTGAATATATAAAAATTCCAAGTGTTATTATCTAGACAAGTTTCAGAAGTTTATGCATTTTTGGCGATTGTTGAAAAGCCGTTCCATTCCAAACACACACACTGATTTGGATTTTGATGCTAACACCTTATTGGCAAAAATTATGTGTGATAGCTGTCCGTCATGACATCTCCAACTCTAGTGTGCAAGAATCCAGTATTCTGCTTCATCTACTTACTATCTGTTTCTTTCAATGTTCTTTATCTAAAAGATATAGGTATGTTTTAGAAAGGACACGGCGTTCCGCCGGAGTAAGGCGAATGATTTTTATACATACAGTGTAATTATGTGTTGCGAAGAGGACAAAGCGCATATCTATCTCGTAGGAGATTTTCCCTTACACATAATAATAAGCGATATCGCAGGGTGGTCCAAAAAAATCAACCGATCTCTTCCGGTGAGCTGGAGAAAACGAAACTAGCAGCAACTACCCCCCTGACGAGAGACACACGGAGGTTATCACTGTCTGGGACGCAACAATCTTGTACAGTTTAATAATTCTAGAACACAGTATTGTACCTTGACGTACAAGAAGCGGATTCGATTGATGGCCGAGGTCTACCAAAGAGTCGATTTGTAAAAACTGTTGTTGTGGTTGACAGATCTGAAGTTGTTTAAACGTTTTCAGAAACTGCTTCTATCATCAAAATATAGATGTTGGTTTCTAATTAGAATTGATTTACATTTTTCTAGGACACAGCTGCTGGAATGCAGTTGAGAAATAACTTTATGACCACCATTTGTATAGCTGATTCGTATAGCCCTTCTTAGAAATGGTAAACGTCCCATACAGAATTTTCATTGATTCAACTGCGGAAAGGATTGGAAGCATTTAAAAGAGATTGATTGCATCCCGCTGTGTTCATCGCTAAGTGAACTGTAAATACTCTAAGGCATGCCTTAATTGAAAATAATAATTTAAAGAGTAGACCTCAAACGAATATCATATAAACGGAATTTAGAGGAAGTGCAATTAAACTGGTTCCCAATGGCTTTGAAATATACTGACTGACAAAGTTATTGGATCTCCGGGGAATCAGTTGATACTTCCCTTCCCCAATCCGACACCGGTGACGTAATAACTGAGAATCGAATATTCCGTTCATGAGTCATCAGTCAAGTCTTTTAAGGTGGCTACAGACACAACTGCAAGCTTGTCCAGCATGCTCATTCAAGCTTTTTGTACAAGTATGCTCAAATCGCCTTCGGCACCACACGTACAAGTATGCTTGATAAAAGGAGAGGTAGTTTAATGAAATATGTCGAGCTCGGACGACGATGCGCTCGCTTTGATCGCTTTTGTTCTTGTAAAGAAAAAAAATCCAAAATGAAAAAGCGTGCGGTGAAGTGTAAAGAATGGTTGATGAAAAGGAAAACCTATTCTCACATTAACTTACTAAGTGAGCTGAAAATATATCAGCGTGACTGGCACAATTATCTTAGAATGGACGAAGAGACCTATTTGAACCTTTTGACTCTTGTATCACCTTTGATTCAAAAGCAGGATACGATCATGAGAGAAGCCATAACACCACATGAAAGATTAACGGCAACATTGCGATTTCTTGCAACCGGGAGGAGTTATGAAGACCTTAAGTATTCAACTACTATTTCACCACAAGCATTAAGTTATACAGTTCCTGAAACCTGCCATGTCATTTACAAGGTGTTAAGAAGCAGGTATTTGAAGGTGAGTAATAGGACTATTTAAACTCAGTTATTTATTATTTTTTTGACGAAAAGATTTACAAAAAGTAGGTACATGTGTATAATAAACTATTACAAAATAACATTAAGCATCGCTAAAATTTGAAATATAGGACGCGATAGAATGATTGGAATTATCATTGGGGGTTACTGGAGAAAGAGTTTCATAATGTACCTGAGATTGAGGAAAAGTTGAGGGGAAATGGGAGTAATTGGTATTTAATTGTTGAGGTGAAGGACAATCTGTAGAATATGTATTGTTAGTTTCACTACAAATACGATGGGACGGAGTCAACTGACCCATTTCTGCCATGAATAATGTATCGTTAATCATTTTTTCTGCCAACAATCTCTGAATATTGTTTGTCATGTCTCTCATTTTCAGAGCGACGTTTTTCCCAAAAATGTCACGTCTATCTTCTTTTAACTTAGGTTTCTTAAAGTGGCCTTCAATTGCGTCCAACACAGAATCACATTTGTCAATTTTGCGTTTAGGTGGTCGGGAAATGGTGCTTTTTTTGGGGTGGATTGTGTGGCCTCAGTTGTTTGACAGCCAGTATCATCATGTGTTGTTGACTCATCCTCCTCAATGGGTTGGTCTAAACTTTCTATAGAATTTTCAGTTGGTTGGGCTTCAACTTCTTTCTGAAAATAATATTTAGCAAATATAAATACATATAACATCTACTATCAGATATAATGTAGTTGTAATTATTTTGTAGAAAATATCTCTGTATTGTTATATTAATTTATTTCCAGGTTCCACAAACTGAAAACGACTGGATTGCTATAGCAAAGGATTTCGAAAAGAGATGGAATTTCCCTCATTGTCTTGGCAGCCTAGATGGAAAACATATCGATATAATTCATCCAGCCAACAGTGGATCTTTTTTTTTCAATTACAAACATAGACACAGTTTAGTTCTACTTGCCATAGCAGATGCAAATTATAAATTTATTTTATTTGATTTCGGTAAAAATGGCAGAGTATCAGATGGGGGTGTCCTTCAGAATACAGAATTTTTCAGAAGACTTCAGGCCAAATTATTAAACATTCCCGGAGAAAAAGGAGTTGCAAATGAGTCACGAAAGCTGCCGTTTGTTTTTGTCGCAGATGATGCTTTTCCTTTGAGGCCTGACATGCTGAAACCATACACACAGAGTGATTTAACTTGTATTGAAAAAAAAATTACAACTACCGATTATCGAGAGCACGGAGAATCGTGGAGAACGTCTTTGGGATTATGGCAGCACGCTTTAGAATTTTTCACACCTCTATCAATTTAGAGTTATATCACATTGAGGAAATATTGAAAGCAACATGTGCTTTACACAATTATTTAATGTCGACAGTAAAAGAAATTTATGCTCCACCGGACTCTTTTCACTTAGAGGACATAGAAAGTGGTATGATTCGCGCTGGCTTGACCTCTGAAAGTTCTAACGTGTCATCATTACAAAGGTCCCATATGACCGGAAATACGCCATTTAATGCTAAACAGGTTAGAGAAGAATTCAGGAATTACTTTTCCAATGAAGGAGCAGTACCTTGGCAACACAACTTTATACATTAATAAAATAATATGGTACGTTAAGTGTGTGTGGACTTTTTATGCAAATAAATAAACTACTTATGTATAAATATGAAAAACAATAAAACTTACCTCTGTCTCGTTCAAGTTAGCTTCTGATTTTCTAGGTGTTTCTTGATCTCCTAAAAAGTGAAACAGGTGGTAGTACCAGAGTGTGGGCTCATAACGTTCATCTGCACCCATTCCAGAGTGTTCTGCATCTTCAACTTTTTTCTTTTCTCTTCTATAATTAGTCCGGAAGGAGTTTATCTTTTTAACAACTGTATCCTTGTCGGCATTAACAGACGCCAACTTGTGCAAATTTGACAATGTTGGGTACACACGTACCGTTTTGCTTGCGCAAGCGCGCCTAATTCAAGCATGCATAATTAAAATCAATTCAATCCTCAAGCTGCTTGTACAATTACGAAGCTTGCACCACATTTCCCTACAAACATTCAAGCGAACTTGTACAAAAAGATTGAACAAGCATGCTGGACAAGCATGCAGTTGTGTCTGTAGCCACCTTTAGGAATAAGTTGGTTCTATTCGTTCAGATAGTTTGCTTGCTATCTGAATGTAATACAGGTATACGTAGTAGAAAATAATGCTCCAAATCTTTCCTCCAGATTTTGGGACAAACTTAGTGAAATGTTCAAATACGCATATTTTTTTAAAATCTCACGTTAAGATTTGTAGTCTTCTTCAGAGAGACTTGGATATAGACGGAGGTCCTTTAGTAAGCATACAAAGGTTTACCTACTTGGGTTGCACACTTAACCAGGACTGAGGCCACTCTCGCGAGATCCCTATTCGTATTGAGAAAGCGAGAAGTGTTCCAGAAAATGAGGAACGTTTTATGTAACCTTGGCTTAAAATGACAGACAACACTCCGTGTTCTCAAGAGTTTCCTCAGTTCCTTTGTGCGGTGTCGGAACATAGCTATCGACAGAAGCCTCGTGCCTCATTAGAAACGATAGAGAATACGGCATGCTCAAGAACTTAAAGCAGCAGACCTACAAATAGTTAGCCACCAAAATTCCGTTTTTCAATTATTGGCAAGAATCCTGGTTGTGATAAAACATAGATATTTATTTTATGCATAAACCGAGTGCGTAGATACCGAACGTCAGTTTTGTGGTTGTACTAACAAGTGATCTCAGGCGTCCAATGTCTAACTCGAATTCGATTTAATGACACTTCGGAAAGTTTCGATTGTGATCCTCGATCTGAGCATCCCAAATTATCACATTTCATGACGTTCCCTTTGCTTGTTGGTACAGATAACAAAAGATCGACGTTTTGCATCGGAAAGTGGCACAGTTTTTGCATCCTTTGTACATGTACAAATGACTCCAAATCCGGTTATAGTGAAACAAAATACATACGGGAGTAGTCGTTTCAATCTATTAAAAAAAGCAAATACTTTGCAATCGCGCATTTTTCGAGAAAAATTGTAACAAAAGTTTCAGGATTGCAAATAAGCAATTTATCGGCGACCGCGAATATGACTTAAATACTGGTAATTACCTGTAGGTGTAGCTTGTATTGTTAGAAACAGGGATGGTCAAACACTAATTCCCCACTAATTAACTTGTATTAACAACAATAGTAATAGCACAACGATTTAACGTAATTTTGGAGCGGCAGATTATCCGAGCACGATGTGCACTGCTCGACGTTACAGCTCGCTCTGGGTCGGCGGCCGATCGTCGTTCCCTCAGCTATCAAAGCAGTAACCACACACAGCAGTACCGCTCCGTGACGGGCAGCGGCTCGCCAAAATTTTTCGTTTCTTACCATGCATTTTTTAAGATTCTAACAAAGTTTATGGGATATTAAGAAGGCAATGTGTCGATAATCGCAGATACGATCTGGGTAATTATATTTTTTATACTTGGACAACCACGGTCATGTCGTGGGGCTATAGATGGATACAACGTAATGTTTCATCTGAGTACATCGATAAACTGCTGTTTTGATATCCACTTACTTTTGCTCGAACTTTTTTAATAAGCATGGTTGCAGGAAATTTGGCGTGTTCGTGTACTTATTAGACGTATCAAACATTTTAATTTAGCAACCATGTATAGGGGTAGATATAGGCAGTATTTGATGGACTTCACTTTTAGCACCAATATTACTAAGAGCTGATTCGCCGTTAGTGCATTTCTGAACTAGACTACGCAAACGATCAGGCAATCTTTTTGTAACGCAGTATAAGCCAGCTCCATATGTGATTGCAAATAAAATCGAATCGATCACTGCCGAATAACTAACACATAAATAATTAAAATGAACTGCCTTTTGGTCGGAAGCCAAACCCCTGCTTTCCCAGCATCCCCAATCGACCCAAACGTCGAACGTACTGGACGGGCACGCCACGGCTTTTTTCGGCGCGAGTAATCCATTACGGGGTCCCGGTCCTGAATCCCGGTCTCCATCCCGACTAGATCCTCCTCCACACAAACTACGCGTCCGGGGGAATAACCCGATTTTTTGTAGGTCACGCTCCTTGATCCAGGACACTGCTTGTCGATATCGGGGATTTCCCACAAAATAGAGCTAAGCTGGTCCTTTTTTACTTCTCCCAATTCGGCTAATTGTAAGTAAACGACATTTCCGACTTAGCTCATCATTACTTTTGTTTTCTACATATCAATGTCGCTCTTTCTTTACAGTTATCTCTATGTTTTGATTTGACTCACCCCTTTTGCAATGCGTTATTTTTTCGAAAAGCATCTGTTGAAACTAGATATGAAGGGGAGGGACCATGAGGCGTTTTTTATAGACAAAGATTGTATTTATGTCTTTGTTAAGCCGTTATTAAAAATATACAATCTGACTATAGAAACCAACTCATCCCCTGATATTTGGAAACTTTCTAGTGCGACACCTATTTTCAAATCAGGGCATAGTACTGATATTAAAAACTATAGAGCGGTGGCAATATTGTCGAATTTCTCCAAATTGCTGGAGATAATATTGCATAATAGAATTTACTCCGCAGTTCATAGATCTCTGCCCCCTTTCCAGCAAAGTTTTCTTACTAAGAGATCCACAGTAACTAATTTAACAATCTTCACTCAGTTCGCTATTGAATGTGTCTATCGGCAAGGTCAAGTAGATGTAGTATACGAGTATACCGACTTTGCTAAGGCGTGCGATAGAATGCACCATGGCATACTTTTGAATAAACTCTTTTATGATGGATTCCATTCATCAGCCTTAGCACTCATCGAATTTTATCTTCATGAAAGGAAGCAATCTGTTACTTTTAATGGATTCAACCCATACCAGTATATAACTAAATCGGGAGTACCTCAGGGTACAAATCTTGGTCCCTTATTGTTTACCTTATTTATTGATGATGTGTATTATTCAAGTTGTAATAAGTTCCTCTTCCACGGATGATTTAAAATTATTCAGGATTATTGAGTCTGCGACTGATTGTATTGCACTTCAGCGTGATAATGATTCTCTAGTGACTTGGTGTAACGAGAATAATTTATTTCTTAATGCGTCTAAGTGTAGTGTAGTCAGCTTTTCCAGGAAAACTTCTGCTTGTAAATTTAATTATAAAATTGGGGATGCTTACATAAATCGTTATAACTCAGTCAAGTATTTGGGTGTAGTTTTTGACCATAAACTTAAATTTTCACTCCAAATAGCTCAAAAGGTGAGTGAAGCTTCGCGGGCGTACGGTTTTATTGTGAGAAACTGTAGAAGCTTTAGCCGCCCAGAGACACTTTTGGTTTTGCATATACAAGATCGAAATTGGAATATGCATCACCTGCTTTTTATATGTTTTCTATTCTTGTTATTTCAATTAATCTTAGGACTGTCCTGTAACTGGTTTCCTTAACTGTTGGGCAATAAACACTATTTATTTATTTACCTATTGAAGCCGCGATAATAATTCCGATGTTGAGATGATCGAATCTATGGAATTTTTGCATTTAAAGCAAGGTCTCCAGCTTTAAATCTATAATGAAGCAAACTGAACACAAAAAAACCAACAATTAAAGCAAAAGGTGAAACAAATGAATATACATTTATGATTTATAAAAATAGCATGTTAAATATTTAAAAACCTATAAATTTTAGATCAAAATGCCAAAATTGCGAACGTTCCACATCTGAAGAACAACCAGGTGCTAAACAAAAGGTGGCGTCAAGTAACTTGACTTGTATATATGCATCGTGGTAGTCCAGGAGACCACCGAACCAACCGGCGATAAGAGGTATGCTTAAATATATTTTGTTAAATATAACTCAATACAAAACTGCCACTTTTCTGAAAAACAATGTTTGAGCATAAGCCGTACTAATTTGGTCCCTACCTTGTAATAAATTTATAATGTTCTGTTTATTGAATGGATCTAGCTAATCCTGATATGCCTTAATGCTACCGGTGATGACACGGTGGCACGTATTTTAAATTGATCTTTCTTTTGTCCAGAATCTTACCAATTCCGTCCCGCTTGGAACTTTAACCAAATCAGAGTCTGAACAATATAAGAGGAATAAGTGTGGCGCCGATCTGGGTTCAAAACACTTGGCGGGGCGCATAGCACCTCACGAGGACTTATGCTGCTTAAGTATTGTTTTATGAACTTGAAAATTAGTTTCATTAAGTTATAAAAATACTTTTTCAGAAGGACCTGAAGGTAATTTTAATCATGTTTTTAACATTACGAAATTACTTTTTATAGATTATTCAGGCTTACAGTTTTAAAATCATTCTTTTGCTGAACTATCTACTTCTTGAAAGTTTGCAATTCCTTTAGTACTAGTTATTCCAATTAGCAGTCTTTTTACTATTGTAAATTAGTTCATCTTTAACATTAATTTAAAAAAAATTGTTGTCGCGTCTATATGGATGTTGTTCTGTACTTAAATGGTGGGTACATATCTGTGAATATAAAAATCGAAAAACCCCATTATGGACCCTGACACTATTGACTTAACGTTTTCACAAACTTCAAGTCCCACTGCAGAGATGCGGGGTATTTATTCTCCGCATGGTTGCGCATAGACTCTGGTACAGATCACAATGCACGCGTATTGACTCATACCGTGTCAAAATCTGACTGATTCATATCGCTCTATGTTTGCAAAGGCCGGTAGTCGTGTTGGTTCAGACCGTTCGATATTAACGAAATCCATGTAAACCGTTTTATACGAAGATAAATTAGGTTATGCTGATTGCCAGGCCTCCTCCATTGTGGAGTATTCGTTGCAATGGTGCGCTGCCAAATATCG